AGCATAAGAGCTTCCGGCTCGGGTATCCAATAGGGCACGACACTCGATTCCCTCTACGTTAACATTTACTATTGGATACACGACTGGTTTGCTACCTTACTCAGTAGCTAATAGCTTATCTTTCATCATACAGATTGATGTATGGTGTTTTTGCTTGCACCGCTGGCACCCAGATGTGCTTCTACATTCAGAAGCTCGATGTCGTGCTCCTGTGCAGTTAAAACACAACCGTTTAGTTGCTAGGATTTTCTTCCTCTCATTCACATCGACAACACGTGTACACTCACGTGACTTGTGATTGCTGTCTTCACAATATACACAACTGTGTTTCCTTGCACCAGTGTTAAAGACTTTGTCTGATCTATCCTTACGTCTCCCTTTCTCTTTACCACTCTGCTCATTACATGGATTAATGTCTCTCCATACTTTCATTTCCTTAACAAGTTGCGCTAAGCCCCAATCCTGCCAACCTTCGTGCCCTCTCACAATATCGCTTTTTATACCCGGTAGGTTATCGATTACACTTCTTGTCATCCCATTAACACGCTCTAGCTTGCCTAGAGTCTCTAAAGACTGTACGTTATATAATAAAGTTTTGTAAAATTTATCTACCTCACTTGGGTTGGCATCCTTGACAACAGGTAACTCCAAAATATTCTGCACGTATGCATTAACAATTTCGCTTGTTTTCCCATATTCGCCAAACAAGATTGCCTTCGCTCGACTGTAACCTTCTGTAGTTAGGGGTAGCCCATCAATATCCGTTCTTATTCTTGGTTCTACGAGTTCTTTCAAATATGCGAACTTTGTCACCGGAGAAAGATCAGTACTATCAATTTCCGCCTTGAATTTGTTCCAAAATGGCAGCCAGTTTTCATATTTCCCATCAAATTTTGTTATAGAAAGCTTAGGTAGCTTCGTTGAACTTGAACTCGCTTTCGCTTCACTCTGTCGATTTGCTTCTAGTGCCTTTTGAAATTTTAGTTGTTGTTCGAATAGCTCGTGCTCTTGTCGTAATTTTTGTTCGTGTTTTTCTTGCTGAAACATGAGTTCCTTTTTAACGGCTTCGGCTTTCTCAATCGCTTGCATTTTTCGCACAATTTCGTCTTGAATTTGTCGCAGTTCTAAAACTTTTTCGTCGGCAGCTTTTAATTTTTCCTCAATAGCACTTACCCACTCAGTTATTTGCTCCTCAGTCTCCTCTTTTACGAATTTTTCTTCCTCAATACTGTCCTTTAAGCTGTGACATGCATTGACCTTTGCTATTATCGAATTTTCGTGTCTGGATATCGCTTCGCTACTGTTCGTTTTAATCACTTAGTCGCTTCTTTTCACGGTAAATTCGAGTGTTCGCAATTTCCCTTCGAGCTCCTTCACTTTTGATTCCATATCTCCGTTAATTTACAAGAAATCAGTAGGATAATCACCAGTTTTAATGCTTTTTTAAGACAGGTTTCGTTTCCCGCGGCCGTGTCGTTCGTGACCTTATATAAACGCCGATATTTTCACAGGTTCTTGCTCTTGTACGAGCGATAAATCACACAAAAATCCCGTTTGGAGGTGCCACTATGTCGAGAATTGCCCCCTGATAGTTCTCAACACAATACGTTTTAGTTTTCTTTAGTTTTAATAACGTTTATACGCACTATAAATCTCTCACAACACACTGTCTCAAAATTATTTCACAATCACAATAACAACTACCGGTATATTCCGGAACTTTCCGAGAGGGTTCAGTTCGGACTCGCGCGTCCCACGCGTAAACATAACATAATATATAATTATATGACAGTTTTCGACAGTCCAACGTGATGTCTCAACAATGTGCCTTGACATCCAACATGGCAGCTCAGCAAGGAATTCGGTCCTCCAACCTGGCTCAACAAGGAATTTTAATATCTAATGTCGAGTCGCATAGGGTCACACCCACCATACAAACTCAATATGCAATTCCAGCTAGACATAAGCCTAATCCCGGATCGTTCATATTTGCAAAATTGGCATTCCTTGACCCCCGAGTCTCGCTTTGCTATGGTTGTGGGGACCAATTAAAGCCAGGGGGTAATTTGCCATCTCCACCTGATGACCTGGTTATGACAACACGACTGCACCGAAGGTATTACAAAAAGGGACAGTTGCAAGTTTCGCCAGAGATAAAACCAGTGTATCTTCATGTCAGTTCATATTGCGCTCAATCTGCCTACAAAGATTTCAACGCAGCATCTTGCCAATTACCGGACGATCTAAGGCCACACCTTCAGTAAGAGCACTATGATTTGATACTTAAGGAATTAGGTCTCAAGTTATGAAGTTATTTAGTAATACAATCTAGCATAATTATTTTTCGTTGAGTTATTTGAACTATTTTTTCGGAGTTGAACATTTCATCTGGAACATTTCATGTTAGTAGGCATGATGTGCTATTCCACTGAATGATTCAGACTAATTTTTTCCTGAAACATTTAAACAATTTTTCGTTGTGTTATATTTTAAGCTGCCTTATTTCTTGAATCTGTGAGGGGCAAGATATTTATATAAGTGTCGCGTATCGATTTATTCCACGAGGAACTTCCTAATTATGGACGTTTCCCAGATGACCCCATCTCCCCCCCCCCCCCCCCC